AAAATAAAAACAAAACAAACAAACAAACAAACAAAAAACCCAGCCATGAGTGCTAAAAAGATCCCAGTAAGCTCATAAATCAGAGGAAATATATCTACTTTATTTTGTCTGAAAGCTGACCTTTCCCCACTTTTTGATTCCTTGGATCCCTCCCCCCACCCCCATTGGATATTACTCATTTATTCAACCAATAAATATCTTCTCTGTATCTGAGAGTACAGCCTGGAACAAGGCCAAGTTCCCATTATCATGGAACTGCTTTAAGAAGCAGTTCTTCCATAGGGAGATTAGACTGTTAGCAAGTGCGGGCACATACATCCGCTGGCCCTAAGTGTGATGAGAAGGTGAAGCAGGGAAGGTGGACAGAGGGAGTGAGGTGTCACTTAATGTAGGGTCAACAAGAAAGATGGCACTTGAGCTGAACCAAGAAGGAAGAGAGAGGGAAAGAGAGTTAGAAACATTGAGAGTTAGAGCCAACAGGATATGGCCAAGGGCACCCTGGCAGAGGGACCAGAAAGAGCTAAGGCCATGAGCGGAAGTGTATAGTGTGTTTGTGGAATGCAAGGAGGCCAGTGGGGCTGGGGTGCAGTAAACCAGAGAGAGTGTGAGAGGCAGAATGTCCGGGCCTTGTAGCTGTGGGTAGGATTTGGATTTTACTCCGAGAAACCTGGTATGGGCTCGTGGGAGCCTGTGCTTATTTAGTTCTCAAAACACCCCTAAGGGACATTCACTGTTATCATTGTCCCCATTTTATAGATAAAGAAAACACAGAGAGGTTAAGGGATCTGCCCAAAGTCCCACAGCTAGTGAGTGGCAGGTGGGCTTGAATCCAAGCAGGTTGACTCCAAAGTTTATACTTTAAATGCAACATTATTCTGATTTTCTTGGGGAAAACAGAGAAAGTTCTGTCTTAATGGGTAGTCCTTAGGGTATGACTTGGCATTCAAATACCAACCCTTATCCAAAACTCAGGTGCATGGTGAAAGAATCGGGGGACTATTCCTTCAAAGGAACTTTAACTTTTTAATTTTGAGGCACATGCCCAGCACGAATCCAGCAAGTTTAGAAAGCAGCGGTGAAGCAGTCCTCAGGCCCGGAGGCCAGAGGTTTCCGTGAACTGGGAGGCAGTGGGAGCAGGTGTCCCAGCTCTGAGCACCTAGGACAGCTCCCCTCCACCAAGGGCTCAGGCCCCGCTGGGGAACCCTGAGGGTCTCTGACTTGGCTCTGGATGGAATCGGAATCCTTTCCCATCTATGTGCTTTCTGGGCCTCGGCTTTTCCATCTGTATAATGAGGGAGCTCAACTGGATGCTCTCCGAGAGCTCTTTCTGGGCTAACCAGATTCTGATTCTAGATTTAATAAAATGGGGGAAATATTTATTCCAATTTTTTTTTTGGGGGGGGGTCCTTTATAAAACATTACTAGAGGCTTGGTACATGAAAATTCATGCACTGGAAGGGGCGTCCCTCAGTCTGGCCTGACCCATCTCACAGTCCAGGAGCCCTCAGAGGCGGGAGGCGATCTGGCAATCAGGGGAGGGCAATACCCCATCACACCCCTGCTGCTGCCACTGCTGGCAGCGCAAGCCTCGGCCTGCCCTAGTTACCTTGGGTGGTACTGGCTGGCTGGGTAGCCACCATGCTAGGCTTGACTGCCTCAGGCTGGCCCTGGGTGGTAGGGAGGACTGAGGGGACTGGGGAAGTCCACACGCCTGCCGCCCTGGCAGGCCTGAGGGGACTGGGTGCCACTATCTTGTGGCTGTGGGCACCACCATCTTTGAGGGCATGACAGTCATTAGTATATCCTCTCCTTATTGGCTGTGGGTACTGCCATCTTTATGATGGCGTGAGAGTCAATTAGCATATTCCCTCTTTATTAGATAGGATGTTTGAGTTTTGCAAGTTTTGTTAAAAAAAAAAATACAGATAGCAGAATGAAGGTATTTGTCCTCTTCACCCTTCCTCCTCTGCTACTGGGAGAGGGCCTTTTGGCAGAAGAACTCACCAGGATTTTTTGTGGGGCAGGGGAATCTCTCCCAAGGGACTGGAGTGCAGCCTCCTGGAGTGGATCCAGGGGTGCTCCAGGAGGCATGACCCCAATGGGCCAAGGGTTCTCAGCAGCTTCAACCCCAAAGGGCTGAGCAGGGACCTTGAGGGGAGGAGAGAGGGGCAAGAGGACGGGAGACCATTCAAGGTGGACCACGTAGGAGCTACAATCCAATCCCAGGAGGGCAGGAAAGAACATCCTCAGCATTCATTGTACTCATGGTGGAGCAAGACGGAGATCTGCTCACGGTCTGTGCGCCTCTGGAGCCCAAGAACAAGGCAACACAGCCCACAAGCATTTCAAATGATGGCTGCCGCGTAAAACCTGGTACCTCTGCCCGGTGGGACTCTTCCGGGGGACCTTTCTTTTCCTGCATTGCGCTTTTATTTATTTATTTATTAAATTTTTTTTAATACTTTCTGGTATTCCTGCATGAGACAGGCATTGCTTATGTAATAAAAATTGTGTTAAAAAATATTAAGAACTTATGAAATGTCTCTAACACCTCCATCTCATATTTGGCAATAGACAAGTGTCGATTGGTCCCCAGGGGAGGACTTGGCTCCCTGCACATCTGAAATGGCTGGGCTATTTTACTGAGGCAGTGAATGATGCAGAGGTTGAGAGGATTATTGTGCTCTCTAGAAATTCTCTGAACTCACATCTCTTGTTTCTGGCCAGGGTATACTCCCTCGGGGGGATGGTTTTGAGGTCAGATGCTGTTCAGAAGCTCTATCCATGAGCTGAGGAAAGGCAGCTGCCAGGATGAGGATCGTGAGCTTCCAAACTGGAGGAGTTCAGTGCTCTGTGAGCCTGAATTAACATGCCAGTACACAGGACCAGTCCTACATTCATGGGTGCTCAGGAAATGGGGTGCACTCAGGGGGTTCCACATTTCTGGATGGCTGACGTTTATTCGGAGTCTCTTGGTTGTCTGAGCCCACATTTTATTTTATTTTATTTATTTTTTAAAATAATTTTCTTTTCTTTTCAAAAAAATATATTTTATTGATTTTTTTACAGAGAGGAAGAGAGAGGGATAGAGAGAAACATTGATGAGAGAGAATCATCGATCAGCTGCCTCTTGCGCATACACACACACACACACACACACCACTGAGGATGTGCCCGAAACCAAGGTACATGCCCTTGACCGGAATCGAACCTGGGACTTTTCAGTCCGCAGGCCGACACTCTATCCACTGAGCCAAACCAGTTTCGGCGAGCCCACATTTTAGAAAATCAGTCTAAAGCTTAGCTGCCTGGTTTTCAGAAGCCTTATCGAACCCTAAATAGTAAATCCAATGGCTTTCTTCTTCCATTTGTGTCTTGCAAGCTATGGGATCACATTAAAGGTCTCTTCTCTCTCTCTCTCTCTCTCTCTCTCTCTCTCTCTCTCTCTCTCTCTCTTTCTCTCTCTCTCTCTCTCACACACACTGGAAGCTAAGGAAGAGCTAGTGACTGGGCATCTTTGGGCCATAATTTCTCATGTGAAAAGAAGGAGATGGTCAATTCAATTTCAACAGTGCCTTCAGCCCCTGAGATGGCAGAGCTGAGGTTTGCTGAGCGTGGGAATGAGGAATTGTGTCATTTGATGGGTGAGTCAGACTAGGGTGTCAGGAGAATAATGTCTTCACAATCAACACCAGGGCCCAGGCAATTAAAAAACGAATTTAGCTGAGGGTTTGAGCGTCTGCTCCGTTCGGAGGCTATGTTCCTGAAGAGGGACAGGATGACTCATCGGCCGGCTGTCACCTGAGGAAACGATGTTATATCCAGTTTCCTTGCTTTGATTCCAGGCGACTGAAAAGATCCTCATTCGGGTTTCCAAGGCAGTGTCCCCAGGCAAGAGCAAGCATGACGACCGAACACTGACGTTCTTTCGTGGGAGCAAAATTAGATTACAGATGAGAAAAAGGCTTTAAAATTACACAAAGCAGCATTCAAGGCAAAGGGATAGATCATTCTTGGTAATATCATCATTGCTGACGAATCACTCTCATGCTGATGTGCTTAGTAGCCTTTGAGCCGTTGTGTTTTAGAGCTAGCCAACCCTGGGTGACTTGGCAAATATGGAAATTCTGCATCTGCAAGACTGATCCGAATGTAGTGCTTTACAGTTTTCAAAGTGCTTTTATTTATTTTATTTTTACTATATATATATATATATATATATATATATATATATATATATATTTTTTTTTTTTTTTTTTTTTTAATTTTTTTTTTCAAGTGCCTTTACATGCAGCATCCTGGTAGCTGGGAGGGAGGGACGGTGTTTTCCCAGCACCTGCCTCAGACACTGGTTAGTATAGAGCTAGGAAGGGTTCAAGCTGGTCATCCAACCCAGGACCACATCGCAATCTGCTGCTTCTCCTACCCATCACCCCCTCACACAGACTCTCACATACTGCCCCAGAGCCGTGCTCCCGGGGATAACCCAGGCAGGGGTGAGGAGCAGCAGGCAGAGAGGAAAGCCGATCTGTTCTGGAGATCATGGCTCTTTCCGTCTCTAAGTGCTGCTCAGAGCGCACATGGCCTTTCCAGGTAGCTGCCCGTGGCTGGGTCTGTTCAGCTCCCCTTAGCCCCGGACACTGGCTGAATCAGCCTGCTGCAGGGGCAGAGAGCACCCAGTCTCTGAAGATGGAATCTCTCCCCCTGAAAGTGTGGTCTGGATGTTCCTGCGAAGGGTGGGCTGGCCCTCCCGGCCCTCCCAGAGCAGCTCTGCCTGTCCTCACCCTCCTGAGACTCCTGGCATCTCAGCTGCGGGCACTGCCCCTCTCCGATTACCAGAGGGGAGGGCTCTCAGGACCGGGGCCCTCCGTGTGGTGCAAACCTGAACTCTCTGTCCGCTGCGGAGGCTGCCTCAGCGCTGTGCTCAGTCCCTTCCCACTCACGGAGGGAAGTGGAAGACCGCTGCCTGGCTGGGAATTTATAGAGGCTCCGAATAAAAGATGAACTGGCCCCATTCCTGCATCTCCTTTTGCTGGATTTGCTTTGCTGCCTCCAGACTGAGAGGTAAGAGACTGGTGGGTGGGTACCCACCTCTGCTCATCTGGGGCCGCCTCTTTGGCCAGGACACACAACCCGTGATCTAGCTGCAGGGAAGTGTCCTGTGCTTCCGACTGACTTGCGCTGGCCCCCCGTAGTGCAAGGCAGAAGAAACCTCATTCTCCAAACCCTGTTCCTAGCTGACGCTGGGTCGTCCCCACTTCCAGCCCTCCGTCTGTTGTTCTTTGCCTCAGATACACGCGGCGCTGAGTGTTGACCAGGTCCCTCTTTTTGAGCAGTTGTAGGAGCAGCGGAGGGGAAATACGCTCAGAAGTTATTTAACGAGCTTTTTGAAGATTATTCCAATGCTCTGCGTCCAGTAGAAGACACAGACGAGGTCCTGAATGTCACACTGCAGATCACACTTTCCCAGATCAAGGACATGGTGAGTACACAAAGGGGTGACTCTTCCGCGTGTTGCTTAGAAGAAACGAACAAAGAGATGTTTTCCCTGGGGATTTGAGAGGAAAAAGGAGACAGACAGCTGCTGGGAGAGGGAGACCCCAGGGGAAGGAAGCGTTCTACGAAATTAATTTTGCTAATTGTTACCTATCCCGCCCATTAACAGTAATAGTCTTAGATCATCTAAAGAAAGACGGTGTTAAATATTGCATGATTGCATTTCGACGAAAGAGGCAAACCCACAGAAGACAGAGCACAGTATCGGTGGGAAGGACAGGGGAGTAGAGAGTGTCTGCTTGACAGTCTTAGGGTTCCTTAGAATGTTCTGGAATTAGATAGTGGTGACGGGTGCACAGCACTGCGAATATTCTGGAAGCCACCGAGTGATTAAAATGTAGATATTCTTTAAAGTGGTTCAAATGGTGAGTTTTATGCTCTGTGCATATTACGTTATGTGCATTTTACTCCAATTTAAAAACACACACAAAGGTAGTGTTTTAAGATGCCATACCTTATTTACTGCTTAAATGTGTTTAATTACACAAAGTTATGAATCTTGATTTTTCTTCCGTCCATTGTAAACATTCCGACTTTCTCATTCAAATGAATCACCTGATAATTATTTTTTGGAGAAAATTGGGCAGTGGATTCATGCAAAAATCTGATGTCTTAAATATTTGCCCACTTAACATTCCAAACACTCAATAAAGCAGAAAAAAATATGGCCTTGGCAGTCAATCAAGGGTCGACCAGTGGTCGGCAAACTGCGGCTCGCGAGCCACATGCGGCTCTTTGGCCCCTGGAGTGTGGCTCTTTCACAAAATACCACGGCCTGCGTGAGTCTATGTTGAAGAAGTGGCATTAGAAGAAGTTTAAGTTTAAAAAAATTCGACTCTCAAAAGAAATTCCAATCGTTGTACTGTTGATATTTGGCTCTGTTGACGAATGAGTTTGCCGACCACTGGGCTAGACTGAGAGAGCTCTCACTTCCTAAAAATAGAGCAGTGCTCTTGGAATTCCGCATGAAGAACAAGTGTTCTACAGATAGAGGGCGCCGCCGAGGTGTCCACTGGACAAAATTACATCTGGGTCAATTGTGCAGGACGAGAGAAACCAAATTCTGACCGCCTACTTATGGATCCGCCAAACCTGGCATGACGCCTACCTCACGTGGGATCGAGACCAGTACGACGGCCTGGACTCCATCAGGATCCCCAGCGACCTAGTGTGGAGGCCGGACATTGTCCTGTACAACAAGTAAGTGCAATTCAGTGCTTTCTCTGGAATGAACTTGTTGACGTAACTGGATTTAAACATAATGAAGGAATATTTAAAACATGTGTAAGTCCCCTGGCCAGTGTAGCTCAGTGGTTGAGCATCGAGCCCGGAACCAAGAGACCATGGTCAGGACATATGCCTGGCATGGGGGGCTCCATCCCCTGTGTGGGGCATGCAGGAGGCATCGGATCCATGATTCTCTCTCATCATTGATGTTTCTATCTCTCTCTCCCTCTCCCTAACTCTCTGAAATCAATAAAGAAAAGGTGTTCCATTATTTAAAAACAAAATGAAACAAATCAAGTGTCAATTTCTGTTCCTACGCCCTAAAATAAGGGTCATAAAATCTTAGTTCATAAAAGCCTGGAGCTACATTCCCCTTTTCAGGTAAGAACGGTATACAGGGCTACTATTCAGATCTCTAGGGCTACTGAAACGAAGTACCTCAAACTGGGGGAGGCAGGTGGGGGCTTAAACAATAGAAACGTGTTAGCTCACAGTTCTGGAGGCTGGAAGTGCATGGTTAGGGGAGGGTGCCAGCCAGGTTAGTTCCCTCTGAGGGTCATGCCTAAGCATCTGTGCCCGGCCTCTCCCCTCGCCTCTGGCGGCTGGTAGCAGTCTTTGTTGCTCTTTAATGCACAGAAGCATCACCTGATCTTCCTGTGGCATTTTCTCTGTACTGTCTGGGTCGCATGTTCCCTTTTTAATACGTTTTCTTCTTTAATTGATATCAGGGAGAGGAAGGCAGAGGGAGAGAAAGGTAGAAACATCGATGAGAGAGAAACACTGGGGACTGAACCAGCAACTCTGGCAGGTGCCCTGACTGGGAATCAAACCAGTGACCTCCCGGTGCCTGAGACGATGCTCAGCCAAAGGGTCAGGCACACAGGCTTCCTTTTATAAGGACGCCAGCGGTGCTGGGTAAGTACCCACCGTACTGTACCTCATCTTAATTAATTACATCTGTAACGACTCTGTTCTGAATAAGGTCACATTCGGAGGGCTATGAATATTGGGAGGGACATAATTCAACACATAATAGTGGTGTTCCCTTCTCCAAGGTCATGTGTCAATAACAATGATGCTACTGAGGTTAAATCGGGATGGACCAGCTGGGAGCTGGCCTATGGGTTTTGGACTTCGTATGGAGAGGAGGAGGAACGAGGTTATAAGGTCACCAGTTATCTGATGACCAAGAGGCCTTGAGTAAATATAGGTAAGGCTTATGTTTCTCAAACTGTGAAGCACACACGAGTGACCTGAGGAGCTTATCAAAATACAGATTCTGATTCGGTGAGTCGAGGGTAGAGTTTTTTATTCTGCATTTTTATAAGCTCCAGATGTTAGAGCTGCTGGCCCGTGGACCACATTTTGAGAAGGAGCCAGCTTGTCCTGTCGCAATTCAGGCTCAGTTGCTCCACCTATTGTCAAAGGAGCTTCGATCTATTTTATTTCTGAAACTCGGGTTTCTCTGGGCTGGGAAAGGCTCCTCTTGGGCTCAGAACAAAAAGTGAGTGAGGGGCAGCCCAGGGGATCCCTCCTGAGAGAGAACTCAGCCTGCCAGTGGGCATGAGTGCCCCATCAGGAAGCCACTCTGGTGGGATGGATTGTGGGATTGAGTGAACAGACAAGTCTATGCTGAGGGTCCAGACACTCTGGTGACTGACAGAACTGGCTGATTCACTGTCCTCACTCCTCCGGTTCCGGGGTGGGAGTCTCAGCCCCCAACGGGAAAGACCTGAGTGCACGAGTGCAAGATGACTAAGATCAGCTCAGTCTTTGATCGGCTCCAGAAGGGGACGAGGGGCTGCCTGGGGGCACTGAGGGGCTGAGGAAAGGGAAGAAAACAGGGAAACAAATGACAGCCCCTCAGGGTCATCCTGTTCTGTCTACCTCCATTGTGAAAGCTGGTCCCTGTAATTTTTCACATTCTGGTTGAGAACATGGAGCCCAGTTAGAAACACAGGGAAGGGGAAGAGAAGAAAGTAACATATATTGGACACATACTATGGGTCGGCAGAGTTGGGGCTAGACAGAATAACCGCTCCCCCCAGAATGCCCACACCCTAATCCCAGAAACCTGTGACTATGTTACCTTACGAGGTAAAGGGGACTTGGCAGGTGTGATTACAGGAAGGCTATGAGTGAGGAGGCTACCTGGCTGGGCCCAATGTAAACAGGAGTTCTTATAGAGGATGGACCGGAGGGTCAGAGTGAGAGGTGCCGTGAAGGAAGCAGAGGACAGACAGTGTGCCCTGTTCAATGGCCTGCAGGCAACCTCTGGGAGCCGGAAAAGACGAGGAAATGGACGGTCCTTCAGAGCCTCCACTGGAGTGCAGCCTCGTCTACATCTTGATTTTAGGATTTCTGACCTCTAAGAACTATAGAGATGTTAAATTTGTGTGTTTTAAGATACTAGGTTTATGGAAATTTGTTGCAACGGCAATAGAAATTAATACGTACAATTTAGTTATTTAACATTTAAAAAGAAACTTTAAAGTATTACACTCCTTATTTTTACAAGTGAGATGTAACTTGCTCCAGGTTGTAAAACCTGAACCAGGTTTTGAACCGAAATCTCTTGGTGATATTTCTTTGATGTCATGACACTTTCTAAAAGAGAACAGGCCTTAATTATTCAAGCAACCTATTTACCGACTTACCTATCTCTCTTTGTCAAATCTTTCTTCTATGCAAGGCATTCTGTAGTGTGTTGAAGAACCAATTAGGATTTTAAAACTCAATCACTGGCCTGGCTGGTGTGGCTCAGTGGTTGAGAGTTGACCTATGAACTAGGAGGTCATGGTTTCATTTCCTGTCAGGGCACATGCAAGCTTAATCCCCAATGGGGACGGGGGGGGGGGGGGGGGGTGTGTATGCAGGAAACAGCCAATCAATGATTCAATGATTTTTTTTCATCATTGATGTTTCTATCTTTCTCTATCTTCCTTCCACTCTGAAGAAAGGAGAAAAAAAAAAATATATATATATATATATATATATATATATATATATATATATCCCAAATGATGGACATTTCATCTAACAGGAGAGGCAGGGAATGCTTCTCATAGAAGGTGAATCTTTTTAAAAATTTTATTTTAAATTTTTATTTATCAATTACAGTTGACATGAATAGGGTCTTAAGAGGTGGGTCTTGAAAAATGTATTAGATTTGTTCATGGAAAATATTATAGATAGGAAAAAGGGTTTGAGTGAAGGAGGGAAACTCACAGGATGTGTTAGAGTTTCAGCCTTGGCTGGTGGAGTGTGAGTGAAAGAGGCTATTAGAAACATCAGGCTGGAAAGTGGGATGGGAGTAGATCATGGAAGATCTGGGACACTAAACTAAGGAGGGTTGGGAGTATTTGGTGGACAATAAGGAACCATTGCAAGTTTTGAGTTATAAAACATGTACAGAGAAACTAGGGAGATAAAACTATAAGATATTGGTCTTGAAGTAAATAAATAGGAATGCCTTTAAACTCTTCCCTCTGGCTTCTGGGGAGTGCAGTGGGCCATTAAAGGGAGAAAAGAAAGTGAGGTCAGAATGTGCTGTCTTTCTATAGAGTTGTCTTTGGCTGTCTGTCCCTGGACGGAAGGTCATAGCTCTTATTATGACTTGATCAACAGTCAATATGCCTTGCAATGGTGGTGGAGAAAGAGTTATCCCCTAAAGGAAAATAAAAATTCTGTACCCCAAAATGTCAGGCATAAATGTTGACAAAGCAAAAAACAAAACAAAACAAAAAACCCCCCACATTTATCCAGAATAAATTATTATATCTTAAATTATGGGTGAATAAAATTTTTTCCATGTTTTCCAAAAGTTCTACTACACATGTAAAACTTTTCCAACAGCAACAAAAAGTTGCCTTAATATTCTTGTGCCCAAAGTTAACAAAATCAGGTAAGCAGAACCTCCCTTTTAGGTTTTAGCTTTGACAGGTTTACATTTTGTCTGGATTTATAAGTCATTGTGCCTGGACCAGCAGGGTGGCATTGGACATAGAGAGGAAGGGACATAAAGCAGGGATGCTTTTAAGGAAGGGTCTGAGACAGCTTTCCCCTCACTAATTACAGGAGATGGAAGAAAAAGAAAAAATTAAGAGTCGATTTCAGATTTTCATGCCAAAGTAACGGGGAGAATGGTGACCCATTGCCAAAGACATTCAAGTGATGGACACAGGGTGGGGAGCTGACTGGAACAGGAAGTTGGTGAGTTATTCCAACAAGCTGCTTTCCTTTTCCTCCTTTGACGTTCAGGGCCGACGATGAATCTTCTGAGCCTGTGAATACCAATGTGGTCCTGCAGTACGATGGGCTGATCACCTGGGACGCACCAGCCATCACCAAAAGCTCCTGTGTGGTGGACGTCACCTACTTCCCCTTCGATAACCAGCAGTGCAACCTGACCTTTGGCTCCTGGACCTACAATGGCAACCAGGTGGACATATTCAACGCCCTGGACAGCGGAGACCTCTCCGACTTCATTGAGGACGTGGAGTGGGAGGTCCACGGCATGCCCGCGGTGAAGAACGTGATCTCCTACGGCTGCTGCTCTGAGCCTTACCCCGACGTGACCTTCACTCTCCTTCTGAAGAGGAGATCCGCCTTCTATATCGTCAACCTCCTCATCCCCTGCGTCCTCATATCTTTTCTGGCTCCCTTGAGTTTTTATCTCCCAGCAGCCTCTGGGGAAAAGGTCTCCCTGGGCGTGACCATCCTGTTGGCCATGACTGTATTTCAGCTCATGGTGGCAGAGATCATGCCGGCCTCAGAAAACGTCCCTCTGATAGGTGAGTTCCAGCGTCTTACACTTTGAGCCCAACTTTGTAGTGACTGTAGTGATATGTATGCCTTTAAACTTATAACAAGTAGGCCAGCTTCACACTCCACACAGGCTGCCACGTACTTCATGTAGTGTCTTCCGTCGGCATCTTTGAAGACAGGCATGGCTGTTGGAAACAAAACTGGCCTTGTGGTCTCTAGATTGACCAAAAGAAGATTGAGAAGCAATAGAGTTTAGAGCAATGGTTCTCAAAGGGTGGTCATACATATATACACACACCTTTTTTAAGAAATAAACACAGAAGGTTCTCTAATCCCCATCCAACCACTAAAGAGGAAGGGGAATATTGGCATTTTTATGATCTCCTCTGAGAGGCAGAAATGGTGGACCGTGATGACATCCAATCATAACCCTACCTGAGGCAGCACCAATTGGTAGGCCCCTCTCTCTTCTTTAACAGTGACATTCAACAGCAACTTGGCTCAGTTCTGAAGAGCAATGTTTCAGGGCATGTGTTGGAAATTTTGTAAGCATTACTTCTTCTATTTCTGTGATAATAAAAAATGTATTTTTTTTTTTTTTTAGGAAGGGTGCACACAGACCTGGAGAATATTAACAATTACAATTTATTTGTAGCACTCATGAAATGAACTTCTAGTCTTAGAAACGTGTTCAAGTTTTCTTCATAAGTATAGCATTTGATCTGGGCATCTGGCCCTTAGCCTTTAACCAAGTTCCATTTAGTTTTAGTTTACTCAGAGCTTCTAACAAATAATAAACAAATGATGTATTTTATTAAATTTTATCTCCATCTGTTAAGATACACATGTGAGTCTTCTCTGTTACTCTATTAATATAGTGAATTAGGTTTTCTGATGTTGAACTAAACCCTCCTTTATCATGATGAATTATCATTTAAAGACACCAATTGAGTAAGCTTACTAATAATTTTTGTAGGATTTTTTCAAATATGTCTATAAGTGAAGTGGCCTTAATAGTTCCTTTCTTGTTACTTTTGGAATCAAGATCAAATTGACTTCACAAAATGAACCAGGCAGTTTTTCCTCTTTTTCTATTTCTGGAACAACTTGAATAAAATAAATTATCTGTTCTTTTAAAAGTTTGGCAAAACTCACCTACAACATCTTTTGCCCTAGAGTATTTGGGGGGTAGATTATTTGGAATTAATGGCAATCAGGTGGACATATTCAACACCCTGGACAGTGGAGACCTCACCTCTTCATTTCTAGTTAAGTGTTCTTTCTTCTTACACTACGTTTAACATCAGATATATTTCTAGAAATCTGCTCTAGGTTTTTAAATTTGTATCATGCAGCTACCCTGTTTCCCTGAAAATAAGACAGTGTCTTATATTAATTTTTGCTCCCGAAGATGCGCTAGGTCTTATTTTCAGGGGGTGTCTTATTTTTCCAAGAAGAAGAATACGGTACACATTTATTGTTAAATGAAAATAAAGGAAATTTATTACCTGTATATGGTACGGTAGTACGGTAGTTGTCAACACAAACCAGACAAACTGTGAGTCCTACAGTATCAAGAATTTACTCATTTATTCAATGACAATCATATCATCATCTTCTGCAACATCATCATAATCCAATTCCTGAATTTCCTGGTGAATTTCTTGTGACTCCATTTCTTTCAGAATCAGTGGACCAAATCTCTCATGTTTAGCCTAGGGGGGCCTTATTTTCGGGGGGGATGCCTTATATTTCACTCAGAAGGAAATCTGTAAGTAGGTCTTATTTTCGGAGGATGTCTTATTTTCGGGGAAACACGGTATATATAAGATAATTATGTTGTTTTCTCAATTTTGGTTCTCTTATTTCCTCTTTTGCATCCTCTCTCCCTACTACCACCTGCCTCTGTTTTATGTGCGGATTTATCAAAAGTTTATCGATTTCATTATTTTTAAAAATAGCTCCCTTTCAATTTTATTCGTTTTCTTGGATTTTTTTGTTCTATATTTTATAAATTTTTACCCTCATCTTTGTTTCCTTCTTTCATTTTTTTCAGGATTATTCACTTTATTATATAATCACATGTTAAAGAGATAGAGAAACAGTGTCTCTTCTTATTCAATAGTAATGAGCTTTCACATTAGAAATGTGACAATTCGGAGAACTGGCCGAGATTGTTAATTATTTGTTTTTTTGTTGAAAGTGAACATTTTTCACATCATGATCTCAGCAAACATTTACAAACCTTTTAGGTAGGTATAAGGGAGAGTTTTGAGGATTTCACACGAGTCACCTCAATTAAGCTTTACTATATTCCTATGAGTTAGATACTAGTATTATATTCATTTTGTAAAGAAAGAAGCTCAGACTTAGCAGCATTATATAACTTGTTGCAGGCCACAAGTCTGGTAAGTGACAGAACTTGGATTTGAACACAAAAAGTTTGATTCAAAACTCTATACTAGTACTCATTAGTATATACACTGAGTGGCCAGATTATTATGATCTCTGAATGCATAATAATCTGGTCACTTAGTATATATATTCATGTATCAGGCTTCTAATATATATAATTATGAATTTGTGCATGGGGGGATGTGTTCGGCCAGCCTGGCCAGAGGGAGGAGATATAAGTGGTTGGCCGGCCTGCCTGCTGGTCGAACTCCAGGTCAAGGGGACAATTTGCATACTAGTCTTTTATTATATAGGATATACACTGAGTGGCCAGATTATTATGCATTCAGAGATCATAATAATCTGGCCACTCAGTGTATAGCTTCCTTAGAAAAAGTGTTTTTTGAGCCAAACATGAGGACAGTTTTAAGCTGATTTGATTGTTGATATTTTTCAGGCAAATACTACATAGCCACGATGGCCTTGATCACAGCCTCCACTGCCTTGACCATTATGGTGATGAATATCCACTTCTGTGGGGCCGAGGCCCGGCCAGTGCCACACTGGGCCAGGGTGGTTATACTGAAATACATGTCCAGGATCCTGTTCGTCTATGATGTGGGTGAGAGTTGCCTTAGTCCCCGCCACAACAGTGAGCGAGGCCGCCTCACAAAGATTTATGGCAAACTTCCAGAGGCTAATCTGAAAACAGCCAGGAACAAAGACCTTCCCAGAAAGAAAGAAGTGAACAAACTCTTAAAGAATGACTTGGGGTACCAAGGTGAGACCCCTCAGGATGCTGACAATTACTGTGCACGGTACCAAGTGCTGACGAGGAATATCCAATACATTGCCAAGTGCCTCAAAGACCACAAGGCCACCAATTCCAAGGGGAGTGAATGGAAGAAGGTTGCGAAAGTCATAGATCGATTCTTCATGTGGGTTTTTTTCATTATGGTGTTTGTGATGACAGTTTTGATCATAGCAAGAGCAGATTAATGAGCATGTGGTATGTGGGAATAAAGTAATAGAATTCTCTGTGATTTACACTAATAATTTCTTCAAGTCTTCTCCATTTTAATTGCAGAAATACTTTTACCTGTTTAGTTGTATTTGGCTGCAAATAACAGAAAACCCACAGATTGAGAACCGCTAGCAGGGTCACTTAAGACCATTGGAAAATAGATATTTACATTATGATTCATTAACAATAGCAAAGTTACAGTTATAAAGTAGCAATGAAAATAATTTTATGGTTGGGGGTCACCACAACATGAGGAGCTGTATTAAAGGGTCGCGGCATTAGAAAGGTTGAGAACCACTGACCTAAACAGATAGAAACTACACATCTTCACAAAAATAAATCTAGCTACTAAGTCCAGGGACCTTTCCATTTTTTCCTGTCTTGTTTTAAGGCATTAAATTTGTGGTAATCGGTTACAACAGTAATAGAAAACTAGTATAGGAACCAGTGAGTATCTCTGAGTATATAGCTTTTTCCATATTTTATATTATTTGTTTGGGATAGATTTGACTATAGCCAGATTGAAATGATTCTATTGAGCCATTTCTAGAAATTTCATCTAGGTTTTCAAATGTATTATCAGGCAGTTATTTATAAGACTAGAGGCCTGGTGCATGAAATTCATGCACCAGGTGTGTGTGTGGGGGTCCCTCAGCCCAGCCTGCACCCTCTCCAATCTGGGAACCCTCTCATAATCCAGGACTGCTGGCTCCCATCTGCTTTCCCTCCTGCCTTCCTGACTGCCCCTAACTGCTTCTGCCTGCCAGCCTGATCACTCCCTAACCACTCCCCTGCCAGCCTGGACACCCCTAACTGCCCTCCCCTGCAGGTTTGATCACCCCAAACTGCCCTCCCTTGCAGGCCTGGTCCCTCCCAACTGCCCTTCCCTGCTGGCCACCTTGTGGCAGCCATCTTGTATCCACATGGGGGCAACCATCTTGTGTGTTGGAGTGATGGTCAATTTGCATATTTCTCTTTTATTAGATAGGATTATTATATTGTTTTCTAAAATTTGATTTCTAAAAATTGAACTTTATCCTGAAGGGATCCACAAAAGGATTAAACCAAGAGAATGATAGTGTCAGATTTGTGTTTCAGAAATAAGACTGTGGTGATGACTATGAGATTGTAGAGAGAAGATAGAGGTAGAGAGACCTGTTGGAATATGTTGTTTTTGTTTTATCAATTCAGGAAAGAGCTAATGAAAGCTTGACCCAAGACAGGGGAAATAAGAAAATGAGTCACAATGTATTTATGACCTAGAATAGATGAAACTTGGTGACTGGTTGGATATGGGGTTAGGGAGAGAGTGGTATTGAGAATAATTCTGAGCTTTCTATCTCAGACAACTGAGGCGAGGAATAAAGAAAAATGAGGTTTTGGAGGAAAGAATTCTGTTTAGGACATCTTGAGCTGGGAATGATTCTAGGACATGCTGGTAGAGATATCCAATAAGTACCTGAATGTACATTTGGAACTTTGGGTATAAGTGAAATATTAAAAAAAAAAAAAAAAAGATGTATATGCAAGTTCATTGTTAAAATATATATTAAATGATTTCAGTGGGTAGGACACAGTGCTACAAACCATAAGAGAGTAAAAAAAAAAAATGAAAATACATTCTTTGCCAGAATTACAGAAGCTTACAACATCATCTACATCATTAAAGCATTTGCCTTGTTAAACTGTCATTTCTCCATTCCCATATCTACTTCTCCAAGTATATTCAGTTCCTCCCCAGGCCTAGGGCTCAGCAGCTCTGTCATTATTCTCGCTCTCTTTTTAAAAAATATATATTTATTTATTTCAGAGAGGAAGAGAGAGATAGAAACATCAATGAGAGAGAATCACTGATAGGCTGCCTCCTGTTTGCCCCCTACTGGGGATGTGCCCTTAACTGGAATCAAACCTGGGACCCTTTAGTCCACAGGCTGATACTCTATTCATTCAGCAAGACTGGCTAAGGCCATTATTCTCTTTTTAAATTTTTTATTTTTATTTTTTAAATTGTTGACAGTATTACAGATGTCTTCCATTTTCTCCCCCTTTACTCTCCTCCACTCAGCCCCTAATCCCCACTTCCTCACCCTCCAGGTCTTCATCATCCTATTGCTTGTATCCATGGGCTATGCATATAAGTATATAATTTATTTGATTTATCTTTCCTCATCCCCCCAAATCTACATTTAGGTATGTCAGTCTGTCCTATGCCTCCATGCTTCTGGTCTTATTTTATTGGTCAACTGGAGGCCTGGTGCATGAATTCATGCACTACTGGGGGTCCCTTGACCTGTCCTGCACTCTCTGGCAATCCAGGAACCCTCAGGGGATGTCGGACTGCCAGTTTCTGCCCAATCTCCGCAGGCTATGCCAAGGGACCCCACTGGTGCACAAATCCATGTACCAGGCCTCTAGTATGCATATAAAATCTTCAGTTAATTTCTTCATGCTCTCCTCTTCCTCCCTTCCCTCTGAGATTCATCAGTCTGTTCCATGTTTCCATTGAGCATCTGTCCCCTGGTGGTCAGTGTGTGTCATAGCTACTGGTTGAATGGTCACTTAAGCATATATATATAGTTCAGTAGATTCCACAAATAAGTGAGATCGTGTGATATTTGTCTTTCTCAGTTTGGCTTATTTCACTTAGGATAATAATCTCTCCAAAAGGTAAGAGATTCCTTTTTTTTTTTTGAAATCCTTGTGTACAGTGAAGGGCATAGCACAAAGCCACTAGTCATTAAACAATCATTGAATGGATGAGTGAGTGAAAGGTAGAGCTGTAGGAGGGTCCAACAATGAGCTAGAGAAGTGAGGACAGCAACAGGGTGTCTATTCTATCCCACATTAAAAACAAACAAACAAACAAATAAAAAACACGAGATGGATTAAAGAGTTAGATGTAAAATTAAACAAAAAGCTTATAAGAAAATATAGGAGGATTTCTTTCTTTTTTTTTAAAAAAATATATTTTATTGATTTTTTTACAGAGAGGAAGAGAGAGAGATAGAAAGTTAGAAACAGCCGGGACTGGTTTGGCTCAGTGGATAGAGCATCAGCCTATGGACTGAAAGGTCCCGGGTTCGATTCCAGTCAAGGGCATGTACCTTGGTTGCAGGTGCATCCCCAGTAGGGAGTGTGTAAGAGGCAGCTGATCGATGATTCTCTCACATCGATGTTTCTAACTCTCTATCCCTCTCTCTTCCTCTCTGTGAAAAATCAATAAAATATATTTAAAAAGAAAGAAAGAAAGTTAGAAACATCGATGAGAGAGAATCATCCATCAGCTGCCTCTTGCACACCCCCTACTAGGAATGCGCCTGCAATCAAGGTACATGTCCTTGACCGGAATTAAATCTGGGACCTTTCAGTCCGCAGGCCGATGCTCTATCCACTGAGCCAAACTGGTTTTGGCAGAAAATATAGGAGGATTTCTAAATAAAATTCTCTACTTTGCCTGGCCAGTGTAGCTCAGTGGTTGAATCAGAGGTTGCTGGTTCAATTCCAGATCAGGGCACATGCCCAGGTTGCAGGCTGGATCCCAGGGCTGGGGGTCATGCAGAAGGCAGCTGATCAATGATGTCTCACTCTCACTGATGTTTTTATCTCTCCCTCTCCCTCTAAAAATCAATAATAATAATAATAAACTTAAAAAAAATTCTCCACCTCGCTCTAGCTGCTTTGGCTCAACGGATAGAGTGCTGGCTTGTAGAGAGAAGGATCTTGGGTTTGATTTGGTCAAGGGCACATGTCTAGGTTACAAGCTTGATCCCCAGTAGGGGCATGCAAGAGAAAGCCAATCAATGATTCTGTTTTTATCTCTCTCTCTTCCTCTTGGAAATCAATTTAAAAAAAAAAACACATAAAGAAATTCTCCACCTGAATAAATTTTGAGATGTGACTGCTATGAAAGAGAAGTATAGGGCCCTCTGGAGGAGAGAGCAAAAAGGGACTGGTTGAATTGGGCAGTTGGCCTGCTGAGAAAGTGTTGCTCATATGAGATCTGAGGGGGAGGAGCTGGAAAACACCAGGTTGCAGACAATGAGTGGGAAGGACAGAGTTCAAGCTTCAGGGTAGAGGAGAGCTTCTATTATTTGAAAAAGAGAAAGGAGGCCTGAGAGTCAGAGCAGTGGGATGGAATCAGTGACCCGCAGAGACACAGAACAAGGCCGGGTCAAGCAGAGCCTTGAAAAGTTTCAAAAACATCAATGACTCTGTTTATTGCCTGACTGTCTTGGTGCTCCGAGGTGTGCCAGGGTTTGTTGAGATCCTGACCTTTGTTCTTTCTCCTCCGTCAGACTGTCTACTTTTCCATCAGCTCATTGCTCAAACCAACCCCTGCCAAACCAGCCACAGGCAAACCTGGCAGATGGACTGTCTTGGTCAAACCAGAAACACAGGTTTTAGAATGTCTTGAGCAACAGTGGTGAGGCCACTTGTAATGCCATCAACTCCAGAGGCTCACAAAGAACTCTCTGCCTGGGTCTTCCCTCCGCCTAGATCACATCTGTGAAGGAAGCAGTAGAAACCTCATAAGTGTGTGAATAGTCAAGCCCCTCCAACCCTTAAAAAATAAACCCCATGATGAAACCTCCCTGCCTTTCTCTTTACTGCCCCCAGCCAAGGTTTCGCCCCTTATTGTTCAGGGTTCCAGCAAGACATGGATGGTGTGTTCAGATTAGGATAATTCATGGAAAGTTTAATAAAGAACTCTTTATAAAGGTGTGGGCAGTATATAGAGAAACACAAGGGGTGATAGAAGACCCCAGAACTAGCAGAGCACTCCGAGGCCTGAAAGAAGGAAGAAGGTTGCCTGAACCCAGCTGGAGAGAGCTGTAACCTTGGGTTGAAAGAAGGAAGCAGACTCTGTAAGGAAGGAATTGGGGGACTATATGTCCCACTTCACTCTCCATCTTCCCTCCAATCTCCAGGGCTTACTGTTGGCCAAACGCAGTGGGAATCTTTCGATGTTGCCTTA